AAAAAAAGAGTACCATTTGGGGCTGGGCTTTGGCTCAGCGGTAGAGCACCTGCCTGGGATGTGTGAGGCACTGAGTTCGATTCTTAGCACCACGTATAAATAAATAAAATAAAAGATTATATCAACAAATAAAAAATATATATTAAAAAAAAAGTTGATAATACTTGCCTTCCTCTGAGGATTGTTGCTGGGATTAAATGAGAATATATGCAAAATAGTAGCACAGGGCCTTCCATAAGCCATCAGCAATGGTAATTTCCCCTTTTCCTTTCTCCTCTTCATACCACCCACTTCCGGATTTCCCCCTGGAAACTCTCCCATTTCTTTACCTTTGTCAGGGAGAAGACGAAGCACATTCCCACGGACACCCAGCTCCTTCATGTAGCATAAATCTTGGGAGACCCCAGTGGTTGTTGCTGTCTCTCGATCTTGGAAAATTTTCTTCAAGATAAAAGGCACGGATTGGAACTTGCGGGGTGAAGGCACCTTGTCTAAGCCCAGAAACTGGAGAAAGTCGGATTCTTGAAATTGAAATGTATGTCCCATAGCTACAATTAACAGGAAGCCAACAGGTAAAAATGGCAGGGAAGGAAGCATGGCCTCGGAGGTGGGACAAAGCAGGCTGGCTGCACGCTGGGAACAGCTGCAGCTCCAGACTGCACAGCCAGCGATTCAAGGGCTGCTAACTTACCTGATGGAAGATAATCAAGTGTAAATTGCTTTCTTCCCAGGTTCTCAAAGGCAATTGGATGTGAAGATGCATTTTTTTTTCCTCTTCTCTCAATCTGCTCTCCCAAAAAGAAACAAAAAATTACTGATGCGTGGACATAAACTGTACAACCTGAGATTTGTCATGGTAGACAGAGTGAAAAGGAGACATGCATTTATTCATTCAACATACTTTTATTAGGAGCTGGGAATGTGGCTCAGTGGTAGAGTGCTTGCCTAGCATGCAAGAGGCCCTGGGTTTGATCCTCAGCACTGCCAAAACAAACAAAAAAGAGTTATTAAAGCATCTATTATGTGCAAGACACTGAGATAGGTGCTAGCAACATACCAGTAAACAATTTGTTCTTTTTTTTTTATTATTGTTGGTCGTTCAAAACATTACATCTAATTTGATATATTTCACAGTTTGATTCAAAAGGGTTATGAACTCCCATTTTTACCCCGTATACAGATTGCTGAATCACATCAGTTAACAATTTGTTCTTATAATTAATTGTCTAGTTAGACAAATGCACATGTAGATTTCTAACAGACTACATCCACAGTGATGTGGGAAACCAAATCAAGGAAAAAGAAGTATTCCCAAGGAACTTAATCTACACTCCCCATCTGTTTTCAGTTTAAAAGGATTAAATTTCATTCATCTAATTTTGTCCTTCTTGATTAAAAGAGTCTGACTGTGTTAATTCTGATTTCATTACTTACTAGCTGTATGACATTGGGCATGTCCCTTAACCTTCCTTTGTTTCTTCTCAATTGAAAATAATAACTGACTTATTTAATCCCCCACCTTTCTCTTATTGGAGGTCTAACCTGAGCCTCCAC